GACACCCGGAGTTTAATTCAACCCTACCCAATATATGTTCATTCTGTGCCAGGCACTGAGCCAGGCACTCTGAGCTATCAGTGGGGCTCACAGGAACACAGGCTTCGGGTCAGACAACCTGCACTCCTACCTGCACTGGGTCCCTCCTCTCTTGGTGACCTTGTGTAGTTACTTCCTGTCTCTGAGTTGCCCACCTTGAAAGCGTTGGGAGGAAGAGACCATGAGCTGCCCTGGGGGGAAGTGGCCCTTCCTGTCGAGGCAGATCACAATTCCAGGCCACTAGGGGGGTTTCTGTTTTAATTTTGCACTGTCCCTGTGCACCTGCACTGGCCCACAGGGCCCAGATTTATCTGCAACAGATAAAGCACTTCCAACCAAAAGCAACCTTGAGTCTTTGGGGGCCCAATTGATTCATTCATCACAAAGCCAAGAATTAGAGAGGGAAGTGCTTGGTCTCTGGTCTCCCAACACTCATCCCACATGCATTTATTTCCTTGTTTGTGTTTTACTCAACAAGTTATCGCTTCCAGAGCTACTGCAGAAGAGTCTGGACCTAAGAAGCTGCCAAAGCCGAGTCCTAAGGCCTGAGCAGCACGGCTCGTCTCCAGCCAGGCCCAGGCAGCACAGCTTGGCTCCAGTCAGGCACCAGCTTGATTTCCCTGAGGACTGTCCCTCCTTAAATGGACATGATCCCAGTAACCAGCTAGTTACTGGGCTGAGAGAGGACCCAATAATATCACGTATGTGAATATGTAACCAGAACACTGGCATTCAGGCCAACGGTCACCACCGATTGCCAATAACATAGAGACAGGCATCGAATCTTTACGGGTGCTTAATCAGACAGCCACAGCCTGGAAGACAGGGTGGGGGTGAAGGGAAGTGATAACACCCCTGTGGGTCAGCTCCCTGCTCAGGGGTCAAACTCGTGCTGCAGTGGCTGCAGACAGCTTCATAGTGCTGTGCTTTAACCTGTTGCGCCACCAAGGAGGGCCTGGGGAAAATATTTAAATGCCTGAGTGAGATGCTGATATTTAGTATTTTATTAGAATACTGAATTCAAAGGGTTAGAAAGAGAATGGAATGAAGCGAGAGGAAGAGGGTGAGTTTGTAAGCTGATGATAGATTGGTCATGCCCGCAGCTTTTGCAAGGTCCACAGGACGCCCGCAAGGATGAGGGCCGAGTGCAGCGCTGAGGGGCCAAGGGCCACTGGCGGTGGGGCCAGGGGTGGGGGCAGCAAGTCCACCTCCAGCTGCTGGTCTCTTTGTTCTCCTGTCTCCCTTGGTCAGCCTTGCTCCTGGGCAATCCCAGGCTCTTTGACTTGTGTTCACCGGCTCTCCAGGAAGCAGGGCTTCTGGGACCCCACCAGTGTGGGTGCAGGCCGAGGGCCCCCTCATTTTCACACGGCACCCAATCTGCAAGGTGCTTGGTTTGTGTGGGGACAGGAGGCCGGGCCAAGCACAGCTTGGATTCTGGAAATAGAATCCTGAATGAGATGGATGGTGGAGCCTTCGTGGAGCCTAAACGTTGCCATGGTAATGTCCTGTTGGCACTGGTCTCACCTAGACAAGACAGTCTCCAGATCCCCTGCCAGCCTCATCCCACTCCTGGCTCAGTTAGCAGCTTCCCTGTGCCTCAGCTTGTCTGCAGAACACAGGCTCACTCCCCCACCTGCCTCAGACCCCCCCCACACACCCCCAGCTCAGGTCATGGGGAGGTTCAGCTAATGTTATAGGGAGCCCTCAAATAGCAGGAGCAAGAGAAGGAAGGTTGCCTGTCACCCACTGAATGCACAGCCCCGACTCGGTGTTCGGGAGAGTGAAGGAATGAGTCATTCATCTTCAACAAGACCTCGTCAGCTCTATTACAAAATTACTTCTCTGATTTGGATCCCTGACTCCTGCTCCAGACGTTACCTTTCACCAGGTGTGGCATTTCACCTTCTTGCGGCTCCGAGTCTCCTACGTTCAGGTGAACGTAGCGGTCAGCGTGCCCCTCGGTGGGATAGCAACAACAACCAGGGATACTTCCCGCCTAGTCTGATGCTCTGTTCTGCCCGTCCTCTTTCCAGACACATTTTTGAAACCCGCTCTGTGACCTCCGGGGCTTGCTCTGGTGCCCGGTCAGGAGGCGACATCCATGGCCTGACTTTCGGCCTCTCTGGACCTTGTCTTGGTTTCATCTCCTGTGCTCTGTTCCACCTCAGGCCAAAGGAAGCTGAAAGAGATGTAACATCCGTGTACTCCCAGATTCCTCGTACTCTGTACCAGAAAGGCAATTTCCTCTAAGTGGCCCCTATTAAAAGATTTATTTATTTATGCATACAGAACTGGGGTACAGGCCAGAGGTGCAGGGGCAGTGAGAGGAGTCACCAGAGACAGAGTGGGGAGCAGAACAGGCAGGTCGAGGAAGCACACTGCTGAGGGGAGCAGCGGGCGGGTCAGGAGCAGGCGGGTCAGGAGTGGTCTGCTGCGCCATGTGGGTTAGCTCCGGGGTGGGGATGGAGCTCACACTGAAGCAGCTGCTGTTAGCTTGCAGCTGTTAGCTTGCAGTGCTGCGTCCTAATCCGTTGTGCCACCAGGGAGGGTCCTAAGTGGCCCCTTTTCAACAACCGTTAAGACTGTGGTGAAGAGGTGTTCAATCAAGCACCCTGAGCAGTCAGGTCAGCATCTCTGTCCGGGTCACACTCCTGCTCAGCCCTGATTGCAGCCATGCCCTCTAGTGCGGCACGTAGCATCTCTGCCCGGGTAGGGCCCACCCAGCCTCAGGTCTCTCCTCCACATCGTACACATCTCCCGGCCTCTGCATCCCTCAAGCTGCAATTAAACTCCCTCCTTTCCATGACGCCCTCCTGATGCTTCTAGTTATCTCTTCTTCCTCTAAATCACAATCCTTTCGCTGCATTTCTTACGTTACTATTTGCACCATGTCTTAGTCGGGTGGATAAAATGCAAGTATCTATTTTGTGTCCTGAAAGAATCTGACATTTGGAGATTGTTGAATGAATGCAAAAAGGGGGCGGGGGAGGAAGGAAATGCAATGGATGTCACATCAGGGACGCCCCCGCAGGGGACACGGCAGAGTCATCCACCACAAGAGCGTGTGTCAGAGCAAGAAGAGGAAATGCTGAGTCTTGCTTGATCTGGACAGGGAAGCGGGTCCTTGGCCTGAGGGCAGCTGGCGACTTGGCTACCAAGGTCTCAAGATAGTTCTGAAAACACCCCCCAAAAGTGCAGGTTTCAGGCTGTGTTCAGAGGCAGTGAGGACTAGCTGAGCGTAGCCACTCCCTCTACCCAAAGCATCAACCTCTAGCTCACCCTCCTCCATCTTCTCTCCCTAACTTCCCGCACCCTCCACCTCTCTCTTTTGCACACACATGTTTATTTAAAACCTGATCTCAGAAGAGTAAAAGAATATGGGGTGAAATTCTGAAGGGTAACCATTAGAGAAATCAGCCGTCATCAGTCAGTATTGTCCTGAATGGATGGACCTCAGGGTGACTACGCCCAGTGAAATCGGTCAAAAAGAGAAAGGCAAATCATTCTTCTATGGAATATAATAACCAGAAACCATCCACAGACAAAATATGACAGGAATAATCTTGAACTCAGTGAAAGAAACTAATTGTTTTTACAGGGGGTTGGAGGATGCCGAGGGAGGCAGATGGGGTGTGGGGTTCAGAGGGTTGCACCAGGGATGAGTAGTAAAACATGTGCGCTTATGGAAGAACAAAAATATAACTCCCCAAAGAAACTACTTTTTAAAATAGTAGTGCCCTGAGAAGTTTGATGTGCCCTTTTCCAAATGAGTAAAGAAAAGAAGATTTTGGGTAAACATGTTTTGGAATTTGTCCAACTTGAGTGTGTCCTGCCCCGTATCACACTTCATGGAATTCTTCACACACACCTGCCGCCTCCCCGCCCCCCAGGCTTGTTTGCTGATTGAAGCAAGAAAATCGGCTTTCACTGGAGCCTTTCTTCAACAAAAACTCCTTTACAAGGCCCGTGCCTGGCACTGCATGTGAGTAAGGAACTGAAGTTTACGAGTCTGTGCTTGTGCAGCAGAGGGCCCAGTGGCCTGACGGGACGACCACTAGCAGTGGGGCAGTACCCGGACTCGTGTGGGACACAAGGAGGAACCTCATTCCCGGGAGTGAAGGCCTGCGGGTGTGGGATTTGTGATGAGGAATGGGTTACCAGGGCTGAAAAAGCCTACTCAGAGGGGAGGCGGCATGGAGGATGGCATCAAGTGTCTTACAAGCCTTAAGGGGATCCCACGGGACCTGTGACCCTAATTTGGGCATGTATCAACTTTGTTCCCCTTTTATCTTTCAGCCATAGTTACCCAAGACAAGGTTCCAGGCAGTTCAAAGAGATGCCCAAATTAGCCTCATGCTGACAACGTTTTAAATTGTAGCTTTTAAGTATTCACATCGAGAAGGCCCAGGGATACGTCAGGACTTGCTGCCATCTCACGAGTCAGGGGTGTGTGTGTGTGTGTGTGTGTGTGTGTGTGTGTGTGTGTGATCTCACGAGTCAGGGGAGTGTGTGTGTGTGTGGGTGTGGGTGTGTGTGTGTGTGTGTGTGTGGTGTCTACCCCACGAGAATGAGCACAGGCTGTGAGGCCAGGCCTCTCCCTACACGGCCGCTGGTGGGACCTAATCTACTACACATGTGAGCCTCATACTTCACAGACCGAAAGGGCCCCCTTCACTGGGTGGTGATCAGCAACAGGGGCAGAAGTTCCTAAAACCGGCCAGAGGTTTTTTAACATGCCTGCAAATCTGAGCTGTTACCTTGCAGGCCTCTACCCCAAAAACTCACCCTCCAGCCTTCTATTCCTCCCTGTAAACTGAATTCTCACGGGCCACAAATCCCTCAGCTCTGGAAAGCCTCACTTTTCCATCCACCCCACCCTCCACCCACACAGCTGAGGTCACTGGCCCGGCCTCTTTTGCAACTTTCCCAAGTCTGTGCAGGAGAGGGAGAGGAGGAAAACTCAGAAGGAAGTGGCTTGGTGTCAACACACTCCTTTTTGCTCCCAAAGCCGTTTTCCTCTGGCCTGGTTGAGACTGTTGCTCCCAGAGGACAACCTCCCCCGCCCCCCAGACTGAGAGAGGACCCCCGCCCACCTCAGGGACACCAAGTGCTGAACAGCCACACGGTAAGTGCCTGGACGTTTTTCTCGGTCCTTCTGTCTGTCCCAGAAGCGCCCAGAAGTATCTGAGGTTTTCAAGAAGGAGGGGAAGCAAGGGATGAGAGTTAGAATCTGGCAGCGGCTGGGCCCAGGTCCAGCCCAAGACCCCCACCTCAGAGAAACTCCAGGGGTCTGGCATCAAGCCAAGCAGAGAACACTTCCCCAGCCAGCCCAGGGAGCTGGGGCCCGGCGTGGGCTCTGCACTAGGCGGCAAGCTCACAGCACCAGGGCTGCTATCAGCCGGAGGGAGCCAGCTAGGGCCCCGAGGCCTGCCGGCGCCCTGCCAGAGTGCCTTTACCACAAGGACCCGACGCCTTCCGAGATGGAACGCGGTGGGCCAGAGGAGATTCATCAAGGAAGGGGAAATCCCTGGAGCAGGAAAATGCCCTTCTGGACCTAAATTATAAATCTCTTCCAATACAGCCATCAACTCTAGGCAGCCAATGAGCAGAGTCGCCAAACGGGCTCTGGTCTCAGCTCGCCATTACTTAACGTGGCTGGTGCTGGAATCCTAGGGCCGTGGTGGCATTTCGGGAACTGCAAAGTGCCGTAAAGTTGCTCAGCATTATGTGTTAATAAAAATAACTTCTCTGGGCTCATGGGTCAATCCCAGACCTCCAAGTCCTGTGGAAGTAGTAATGTGCCTGCCTCCTCACACCTACACGGTGCTGCTGCCGTGTGGTCATGAGCAACATCCTCATGGACAGATGAGCCGACAGACAGATCGTGGGTGGGTGCGGTGAGGGGATGACTTTATTAAAACTCAATAGTCCCAACCCGGGTCAGGCTCTTGGGAGGGACACAGTGAGGTGTGAGGCGCTGTCCTACGTGGGGACACAGAGCTAGTCCCCTCATAGGACTTACACCGCGAGGGTGCTGTGTCTTCTGTGTGTGCCCTGCATGAAGGAGCAGGTCTGGACCTGCTAAGATTTAGATGGGTGAGGCCGTTGTGAGCCTCCCCGGGGGCAATAAAGCTGTGCGCTCCCTGGTTAGCGTCTTTTCAGAATCAAATTTTACTGCCCAAATTATAAATCCTGTTCGTGGAGTGTTTAAATATGTCGTTTTCTAAGGTGTGGGAGTAGGAAGGGGAGACACTGAAAAGAAGCCAAGAGAGGCTGAGTGATGGGCTGGGGGGACTGGGAGCTTTGGGGGGTGTCGCCTGCCTTGCACAAGGTCTCCCTGTCCTCCCACCTCATCTGCAGAAACCACACCTCACCCAACACAAATGAGGCAGAAAACTGTGCCTGCGTTCTGGTCCGGGCCAGTGGGGTGGGAGAGAAGGGGTCTGACAGGGAGAACAGGGCAGGTCCCAGCGTTCTTATAAGCTCAGTCCCAAGTCCCGAGAGACTAAAGAACCGGGGTTGGGGGTAGACATCAACTCAGTCTTTCTTATGGGTGGGGCTGGGGGGACGGGTGGGACTGAGCTACAGGACAGTTTTGGCAGGTGGGCAGGGCCAGGGCTCTGGGCTCACAGATGCTGTCAGGAGAGAGCGGGAAGGGGCCAGTGAAGCAGTGGACAGCAGCTGGCTGGAGTCTGCTGTGCATGGACCCAGCTGGCTGAATGCAAGCCTGGCATCACAGTCTGCTTTTCATTGTTACTTAACAGTGGAGGGTGGTGACTTAGCCTGGACTGTTGGCAGAGGTCTTGGCCTGAAGCATCTGAGTCAACTGAGAGGCAGAGGGAGGCTTTAGAGGCAGCCATTCTCCAAGCCCAGCCAAGAACAGAGCAGGGAGGACAGGATGAGGGACTTCAGCACCCGGGGGTGGGGGGGGGAGACAGCCAGTGTTCAGGCTATCCAGTGTCTGGGCGTGTCCAGCCATGCTCCTGGCCCTGGTGACAGCCTGGCCATGCCATCACGCCTTGTCATCCTGATTAAGGACCAGCTACTTTAAATAGCAGCCCCAGCAGATTTCTACCCAAAGGGTCTGGTGGTGGCAGCTTTGAGGGCACATCTAGGGGAGGGGATCAGGGTGGTGATTTGGGTGAGGGGATTTGGGTGTCAAGATTGGGGAGAGCTAAAAAGATATGGAGAAAAAAACAGGCCCTCCCTGGTGGCGCAGCGGTTAAATCACAGCACCAAGAAGCTAACACCACTTCAGCATGATCCCCACCTGCCCCGGAGGTGACCCACATGGTGTGGCAGACCTCTCCTGACCCCCTGTTGCTCCCCTCAGCAGTGTACTTCGTCAGTCGGCCTGTTCTGCTCCCCACTCTGTCTCTGGTGAATCCTCTCACTGCCCCTGCACCTCTCCTGTACCCCAGTTCTGTATGAATAAATAAATCTTTAAAAAAAAAAAAAATATGGAGAAAAAAGACTCAAATAAAGGATTATATCTCAGAGGGACTGACAGGTACCTAAGGAACTGAGCATGTTTTGTGTGACCCCTTGAGAAATCTACTCCTGGGGGCAGGAGCAGAAGCCTCATCTCTTCCTGTCCATCCTTGAATGTGCTAGGGACAACTCAGCACTGGAGAGGTGGGTTCTGGGTTCTTCACCCAGCGTGCTGGGGTAGCTTGAAATCAACCACGGTGGGGGTATTTCCGCCATGGAAGTGGCAAGCCTGAGCATCAGGTCCCAGCCCACTTCACCCCTAGGAGGTGACCATTTATCGGAGTCTTCCCCAATTTGGGGCGCTTGCTGTGCCCCAAAAAAAGTTGCCGTCAGAAAAAGACACAGGCAAGAACGGTGTACACTTGGTCCCAAGGGAACAGGCTGGTGAAGGCTGAGCAACTCAGCCAAGGTCATGAATGTACAGAGGGGGGCTGAGAACCCCAACTGCCAACTTCATGATCAGTTAGTGGTACCAGACAGCAGGCTGTCCTGCCCTAGACACGAGAGTCACGAGAGCCTGGAGAGAGATTGGTCTTGTCAGGAACTCACCCTCAGAAGACCTTTGGGGTGCCATCCACACACACGCTCTTTTTAAAGAAATGTCAAGTCTTTCATATTTTATTATAATAACCCCTTAGGAGTGTGTAACAAATGTTAATGCGAGATCCATATAAAGTAAAGCAATAGCTCAGCCTCATTCCTGTGTCTCCCCAATCTCCTGTGCTCTGATTAACACAGGAGTGTGTTAATCATTCCTGTGCTCTGACCACAGCTAAGTGTGTATTTGTGGGACAGGCCTAGATGTTGTGATGTGAGGCGTTCGGCCAGATGCGTGGGCTGGTGTTCATTTTTATACAGCTGGGGTCATACTATCGAAAGTGTTCAGGGTTGTTCTTTTTCTTTTTTTTTTTTTAATTTATTTATTTGTATATACAGAACTGGGGTACAAGCCAGAGACTCAGGGGCAGTGAGAGACTTCACCAGAGACAGAGTGGGGAGCAGAACAGGCAGATCAACGCAGTACACTGCTGAGGGGAGCAGCGGGCGGGTCAGGAGAGGTCTGCCACGCCATGTGGTCTCCTCCGGGGCAGGCGGGAATCGAACTCATGCGGAAGTGGCTTTAGCTTCTCAGTGCAGTGCTTCAACCCGCTGCGCCACCAGGGAGGGCCTGGGTTGTTCTTTTTCTTTACTTAGATATTTTATCTTTCTACTCTATTCCTACCCCCCTTTTGAAGCTACCAGCTATCCAGCGTAGGCGTGGGTCCTGATTAGTGTGCAGTCCCTGGTTTTGTTGATGCGCGTGAAGTCACAACACTCCTTGCTAAGGGGTGGATTCCTAGAGTTAGAAGCTGGACTCCTTGCGTATTGTGTTTTGATATCATCAGTTTTCCTCCTTAAAAGACAGTACCAGGGCCTCCCTGGTGGTGCAAGGGATTAGTCTCATCACTATGAAGCTCGCCCTAGCCACTGCAGCATGAGCTTGATCCCTGGTCAGGGAGGTGACCCACAGGGCGCAGCAGACCTCACCTGTCTTGCGCTGTTCCTCTCATTAGTGTATATCAGAAGATTTGCCTGTTCTGCTCCCTACTCTGTCTCTGATGAACCCAGTTACCCCCTGCACCTCTGGCCTATACCTGGGTCTTATATGCCTAAATAAATAAAAATAAACCTTTTGGGGGGGAAAGACTGTGCGAATTCACCACCAATAGCCACTTATGTTTTCCCAACACACTTGTTGACACTAAATATTATCATCAGTCTTTAATTTTTACCACTCTGAAGGGCAAAAGGGCTTTTAAATTTTGTATGCCCTTAGTAATGAATAAAGTTGAGGGTCCCTTCAAAGCTTATGTTTAATCACTTATGAAACCTCTACTGGTAACAGATTCGTCATCTCCCTTTGATGTTGTGTCTCATTCTCTGTCGCATTCCAGTGCCTGTTGCCCCCTGCTAAAAAGTGCACTTCCTACCCCCCAACCCACACCCTGTGTCCCCTTCTCACTGACCCCTGTGCTGCTGCCCGTGTCAACCCTATCCCTTCCAGAGCTGAGCCCCTCTGAAAGGTGCAGATGTGGGGGTGAGGGCATCATTCCATCCTCCCGGGAGAGTGTCGACCCTGGAGCCAGGCCGAGCTGCAAAGCCCAGCCCAAAATCTAGGCCCTACCGCTTACCAGGCCATGTCTTCAGAGGGGTACTATTATATTGAACGTCTCTAAACATCTGTTTCTTCAGTGGTAAAATGGAGATTATAATATTATCAATCCCACGGGCTATTTTTGGATGCTATTAAGTCATAGCACAGCTAACATTCCTTGAGTCCTTAACTTGTGCCTGTAAATGTATGATAATCACGTACGCCGTGCCCTGAGTGCATTACAGTAATGTTTTCATTTGTCTAAGCTCACAACGTATACATACTGCTTATCACATTTTTGCAAAGCCCTCAGTACAGTGCCAGGCAGATGTGAGCGCCTCGTGCGAAGTCACACACACATATCACATGCTCCTCTTGTTGCGGCCTGACCAGGCCTGACCTCTCAGCCAGTCCTCACACACCAGCCCCAGCTCGCACGCCCTGTCACCCTCCCAATCTCCCCACTGCACCGCTTACATGTCAGCGCCTTTCCCTTGAGCCCCTCCCACGCCACTGGGGTCCCACGGACCCACCAGCCCTGGGCCTGGTGCACCAGATCCTGGGCACCAGATGTTCTGGGATCAAACCCAAGAGCTAGCAGCAACTCAGGATTTCAATTCAAACACAGCTTTGTCCACTGAACAGCCTGGGTGTGACCTCGGGTGAGTCACGCGTGACTTGGTTCTCTGAGCCTCCGTGATACTCATCTTGTAAGGCTTTTGAGGGCTCCCTGAGCTCTTCCCAGAATGCAGAGACTCAGGCAGGTGCTGAGCCAAAGCTAGTTCCTCAGCTGCTCCTGCTACCTCCCTCTGTCCTGCCTCCCTTTTGAAGGCCCCGTGCCAAACTTGGAAGCTCAGTCAGTGTGTTGTAAGAGCGCCTCTGGCAAGAGCTTGATGTTGCCTCCAGTCTCCTTCCAGAGAAGTCACTGGCACTGAGAGGTCCAGTGAGTCACTGGACCTTGGCTGGTTTCTTTGGTGGGCAGTGACACCCACCACAGAATGCCAATTGTGCCAACAGGGTGAACTCCCTTCCTGTACATGTCTCCACACAACATGTTTCTCATTGGTGGGTTCCTTGGTCTGATAGGGACCAGCCACCTTAGTCTTGCTTCCTCAGCTCCATAATCCTCACTTCCCACTTCCCTGCAGCAAACCTTCCACCTTTGATGGTTTCACTCCCTCCCTTTGGAGTATCATGTCCCCCTCGTCCCCCACCCCAGCACAGGTCACATTTGTTAATGCCCACTGGACTGCCAGCCCCCTGACTTCCTGGAGCACTTCCTCTGTTCCTTTGGGGTGCTTTCTGTCCGGTGGAACGTCTCAGTCCCTGGAGTGTATCTCCCCCGGTGACTCCCTTGGGTAGGTTCCCAGTAGCTCAATCTCTGTGCTCCTCCCAGCGTCTGGTCCAGGGACTTGCATGCAGACACGCAAGCATTTGGGGAATGAACGCCTCGGCTGTCGAGAAGACCTGGTGACTGCCATGCCAACGCAGCCCTCCTGAATTACAGAAGGGCAAGAGGCACCAACTCCAGCTCCCAGATCCGAGAAGAAATTCCATAGGGTTCCTTAGTTCCTGGAGAGGATGCTAGACCTCCAGGCAGTGTTCTGGTTTAATTGTGCACACACACGCACACCTGCAGTGGCTTCGGGGCCTGGGGAGTGACAGCAGCAGCTGCTAAGGTGCTTTCAACCAGAAGGGACCTTGAGTGTTTGGGATACACTTGTCTGTTCATTGCAAAGCCAAGACTCTGAGCAGGGATGGAACTGGCCCCTGGTCACACAGCAAAGTGAGGACTAGACCCATGGCTGCAGGAAATCCAATTTAGAACCTTTTCAAGTTCTGGGGGATACTCGAGCTGGTCCTCTTTGTTCACCCTGGTTGAGTCAGATCAAGGTTTAGTGCAAGGACAGAAGAGCCAGGAGCTGAGAATAGTGCGATGCGTGTGTGCCTGTAGGGGCAGATGCAAGGAATCAGGTGAGCACAGCGCCCTGGGAGTTTTACTTCATCTTTTTAAGTAAGTAAAGACTGAAATTGAAATCGAAAAAAAGAAATAGGTAACACACACATCACACACACCTATTTGTATTTTTCTCTGGTAGAAATAATACATGTCATTAAAAATAGAAGCACAGAAATATCAAGTCAGATCATTTCCTCCCTCCCACCCAGACTTAAGCACTTAAATTGTTGATTTCTTTTTTTTTCTAAGCCTTTCTCTGTGGAAGAAGGAACTCATTTTGACATCTGGGTGGGAGAGTTTAGCATCTGGGTATTCCTGAGATCCTGTGGCCTGAGCACCCCACATTCTGATACGCTCAAAAAATCCATTTTAACGACTGCTTAGTAGTTCACTACTTAAATAAATCCTTCTTTGTTGCCGGATATTTGCAAATAATGCTGTGAAGAACATTCTTTGCCCACATTTCAGATTATTCTCTGAGGGTGAATTCCTGGAAGTGGAAGGCAGGAACATTTTTTCTTATTGTCAATACTTGCTGCCAAGTCGCTTTCAAGAAACATATGGCAATTGCACCCCCACCAGCTGCATTCGAGAGGCATCTTTTGTTTCTGCCCTTCAGCATCACCTCGGGTCAGGGGTGTGGGGAGTTCCTTTCTACTCAGAGCCTCTCAGAGGCTCCTACAATAGCGCCTTGTCCTGCCCTGTGTCTTTCTGCACTGCCCTCGTGTCTGGCTCCAGGCTCAACCATCTGCCAGGCCCCTGTTCAGGGCCATGAGCCCTTGTGGGCCTGCTGGCTGCCTCCAGGACCAAGGGTGGACAGAGCCTCTGTCCTGTGAGGTCACCCCGCTCCCGCCTTGGGGAAGCCACAGGGAAAATGAGGAAGAGGGTATGTAAGCATTGCTGAGTCAGCCTCCTCCTTCAAGAAAGAACCCCCAGTTCTGGGCAGTGATGTGGGCTTAGAAAGGTGAAGCTGAGGCCTGCCTTACTAACCACAGCCAGGGGGGCCCTGGCCAGCATGTGGCTGATTCTCATTTCCCTGCAGGCTTTGTCACTTTATGAATCCCCGGAAGAAGGTTGACCTGAAGCTCATCATCATTGGCGCCCTGGGGTAAGGCAGTGCAGTTTTGGGGGGGAGAATAGGGGGTGCTTCCTCCCCAGGCAGAGAGGCTTCCCGAGGTATGCTGGCCTCTGTGGGGCCTTTCTGACTGACTCGTGGTGGCGCGCCAAGAAGGACATTCCACCCCAGGGAGGGGGGCTCAGTAGAAAGAAAGAGGCTAAAGTCAGACCCTCTGACCCTGGTGGGGCTGCTGTGATGGCCTCAGCCCAGAGTGACCACTCCAGCAACACGGCTATGCCTGCTCCTGCCCGGGACACTCAGCTCTCTCCGAGGCCTTAGGTTCCCTTTGACTCCTTCTTCTTAAAGTCATTCTCTAGTCTCTTGCTACTCAAACTGTGGTCCTTGGACCACAAAGTTCAGAAATTCAGAATCTCGGGAAGAGAAAATAGTGAGAGGAGCCTGGTGTTCATACACATGTGTTAACACATGTCTGGGCATCTTTGTCAGCGTCGGAAAGACCTCCCTGCTGCACCAGTATGTGTACAAGACGTTTTATGAGGACTACCAGACCACACTGGGGGCCAGCATCCTCTCCAAAATTATCATTTTGGATGACACGACTTTGAAGTTACAGGTGAGCGCCCTTCTGTTCCCTTTTCATCACGCACACACTCTCATACACTTTCACACACACACACACTCTCTCACACACCACACACTCTCACACACTCCCACAATACACATACACTTGTTCTCACACACACATACACACCACACTCACACACACTCTCTCACACACACATTCTCACACACTCCACACACTCTCACACACGCTCACACACATACACACTCTCACACACTACACACACTCACATACTGCACACACTCACAATGCTCTCACACACATACACACACTCACACACACTCTCACACACCTGAAGTCAATGATGAAGTGCTCCTATTTCAGCCTAGATTTAAGCCTTGTTTGCCACTTCCACAGCAGCGAGCGCCAGGAGCTGGAGTACTCTAGAACTGAGGTCAGGCACTGTCCATGCAAGGGCCAGAAAGTCAGGCACCTGCTTTTATAAATAAACGCTCGTTGGACTCACCACACCCATTTGTTGACTTATAGTCTGTAACTTCTTTCATTCACCAGAGTTGAGTCACTGCCACAGACAATACGGTTTGAGAAGACTAAAATAGTCCTCATCTGACCCTTACAGAAAAAGAATTGCTGATTCTTGATCTAGAAGGAAGAGCTTTAAGAGTTTGGAGACCTCACTCCTACTCTGGAATTCCCTGAAAAACTTGGAAGATGGACTCTGACAAATCGTTCCCAGGGTCCAAATTTCCAAATCAGTCAGACAAGAATAAAAATGGCTGCCCTGGGGACCCAGGGGGAGTGAGAGCACAGGCGTGAGGTGCTCACGGGACGGGAAATGGCTGTGGCAGGAGGGCTGTGGTTTTCGTGGGAGGATCGGGGAGCCATGTGGGAGAACCTCAAGTGCCTGCCAGGGCTGTCTGCTCCCTCCCTGGGGGAGGCTCTGGGGGTGGGGTGACACCCCGAGCCACCCCCCATGGCCCCTTGGGCCGCTCTTCCTCTCCAGATCTGGGACACAGGCGGACAGGAGCGCTTCCGTTCCATGGTGTCCACGTTCTACAAAGGCTCTGACGGCTGCATCCTGGTGTTTGATGTCACCGACTCCGAGTCCTTTGAAGCCCTGGATACCTGGCGGGGTGATGTTCTGGCCAAAACCATTCCCATGGAGCAGTCCTACCCCATGGTCGTGCTGGGGAACAAGATTGATGTAGCCGACCGGCAGGTACCGTTCGTTCACTCACTCATTCATTCGTTAGCTAAGCACCTACTATGTGCCAGGCCCTGTGTTAGAGCTCACGCATGTAGAGCTGAATCAGACCATCTTTACCTTAAGAACTTCACAGTGCGAGTGTTTGGCAGGTGAGGGGTACCTGGCAGGATGAGAAGTGCAGCTGCTGCCTGGAAGGAGTGGGGGGCACCCAGTTCAAGCCCTGGGGATGAGCCACAGAGAGAAAAAGAATAAAGATCTGAAAGAAGCAGGGAAGTTCCAGAAAAGCTTGAACTGGGGTCTGTGGAGAGAAGGGTGTGGAAATGCACCCCCCACACACAGTGGAGAAGCTAATGGGGGCACAGTGACGCCGGGTAAACAGGGGTCTGGTCAAGTCAGGGAGATGAGAGAGGATCAAGACAATAGAAGATGGCGGTGGTGGGTTTGGAGGGAGGTGACAGAGAAGGAAACAGAAGATGGAGAAGTGGGAGGGGGGAGAAGAGAGACCAGAGACGTAGAGAAGAGCCACTGGGCGTGGGAACAAGGGAAGGGGACTGGACTCAGACCAGGGTCATAAAGCAGGGAGGTGAGGCTTGGAAGTCCCTGCCGCGAACGTCCTCACTGAGGCACAGAAGGAGCAGGGGGTCGTGCCAGTGATCGGTTGGGTGGAGGACCCAGGCACCTGCTTTCTGGTGGGGGCTCACAGCCAGGAGTTGAAGGGCCGCTGAGGAAGCGCCCTCCCAGGCTCCAGTTCCCACTCCTGCTGTCTTCGGGCTGATTCCAGCCCCCTCATCTGCGCAATGGAGACCAGACCAGGGTGTCAGGAGGCTTTGGGGGATCTAAGGAAAGGAGGCCTGGGAAGCACATGGCAGGCATAGCCAAAGGGAGCGATGGTTCTCATTACCCTCAGGCATGGACTCAGGAGATACAGGAACTTTTCCCACTTAATAAAAAAGGAAATAAATATTTGAAACTACATTGCTAGATTTGGGGTGAGGAAGAAATCCTGGAAAGGGGTGGAGGTAGTGACTGCACAAATAAATGTACTGAACACCACAAAACTGTATACTTCAATAGAGTTAAAATGGTCAATTTTATGTTCCTGTACCTTTATTACAATAAAAAAAAATAGATATCATCAGGATGACCTTAGAGAAATCGCTGAATTTGATTTTTTTTAAGTCCCTCCTCCTTCTTTAGCTGGTTCTAATGTCACAAAATTTCATTTGTTAGAAACAGCAGCTCTGCCTGGAGGCTGAGCTCGCTGGGAAGGGGATGCTTTGCCCTGTGCCCTGTCCGATCATTTCTGAGTTGCTGTTGATTCATAATGTTGAGATTCTGAAAAGATTTCTTGCTATTTTTGTAGTGATTTAAGATGTATTTGACATACTAATTCTAACACATACAGTTGATCATTTTCCATGTAGATGAAGTGGAAAAGCATCATCGATAAAATTGCGCCAACTGAATTAATCTTGTTCAACATTTGGTTTCTCGTAAGCCAGCAACATTATAACAGGAAGTAAAATGTTAATAGTCCATCCTCAGCCAAAAGCAGAGTTAATGGGGAAGGCTTTCCAAAATGTCCAGCCCCACGTATCCAAGAAGCAGAGTCTACGGGCAGAGTCTAAGTAACTGCTATTTTTATATTAAAGACAAGGCCATGTTTTAAATCGTGAAATTACAGCTAGAATTGGAGGAGAAGGAACAGACCGTGCCTGGCTTCCCTCCCGGCCGGCTTTCTGAGGGGCAGCGGGACACACCAGCAGGATGAAAACAGGAGGTTAATTTTTAACACATCTCAACCGATATTTAATCATTCCCTATGCAGTCGCCCCTGGTTTTCCATGGTGTCTCTGCCTGTGGCTTCTGTGACCCACAGATCAACCACAGTCTGTGCACCAAGATATTTGGAGAACGGCCACATGTGAATTATTTGTGCGAGTGTATTTCTATGCTGGCTCTAGTCCATATTAGCTGTTATTAATCTCTTCCTTGCCTGACTGACACACCTGTCAGAGGTGTGTGTGTATGAGGTGGTGTATAAGGCTATCATAGGTGTGGATGTATGTGTATGTTCTTTTCTTGGCCTCAGGGACCCACGGGGGTCAGGGAATGTGTACCCTGGACTAGGGAGCAGAGCTGTACACCAGACCGAGGGCAAGTGTGGGAAAATGAGGTAGAACCTCTGTTATAACCAGCCTCAGAGGGCCGGTGGCTGCCCGAGGGAGAGCAGGTTGGTGCCATGAGCTAACAAGAAACCAGCTCCTTCGCTGGTTCCCATCTCCACCTAGTCTTTGGTAGGGCACCTCGTGGTTCCAGGCCATGCTGGCCATCCAGAGAGCAGGGGTGAGCCCTGAGCGCCCGGGCCCTGAGCCTCTCCTGTGACCAGGGAAACAAGGACCAAAGAGACGTGGGACAGGATGTTTCTCCAATTCCAATAAAATCACATTCCAGAATGCAGGAATGAAGGAGACGGCAGGACTGGGGCAATGTCTGGGCTCCCTGTGGTGGGACTGTGTTTGGGGAGAGGAACAACATGGGCCTTTCTCGGTGAAGAAAACAAAAACACTTTGGCCCCTGAAATAAATGGAAGTACTGGTTGTAAAGTATCAGGCACAGTCAATGTTCAACCTAGTTCCTTCTCTCTCCCCAAATTAGACATTAAACTCAGAGGTGCCAGCTGTCTCTGGAAGTAAGCTAAGGGATACCAGAGCATTTTCCAGTCTAACCCTGACTGTGACCCACCTTTACCTTTCGTTCACGCTGTGCAGAGTGGCTGTGAGCTGCAGGGGCTGGGCCTGAGCTCCCAGGGCCTTGAGCCTCACGAGAGACAGGGAAGAAGCCCTGTTCTGATGCCGCGCCCTGCAGGGCAGCTCAGCTGTGTGTGGGGACCCTGGGCTATGCAGCACCCAAGCAATGCCTTTCTCAGCTGTGTGTTCTGAGGCAAGTGGCTGAACCTCTCTGAACCTCAGTGTTCTTATGTGTAAAGTGGAGTCAGTAAGGCCCAGCTCATGGAATTAGGATTAACGAGCTAGTCCATGAAAGATGTCTGCAAAGCATTAGGAGTTTACCTAGGCCTCCAATGTGCCTGCCAGGTCTGGCTTCCTTTGAAAGGAGGGAAGGAGCCAATGGCAAGAAGATGCACCTAGTGTCGGCCTTAGGAGGCAGACATGAGCAGCTTCTGCTAAGCCTGTGTTCAAGTCTGCTCAGCCCTGTCCACACAGCACAATTTTTTATTCTCCAGCCCTACATTTCTTTGTCTGTAAAATGGTGCTAACAGTAGCTGCCCAGTGGATCTCTGTTAAGAAATAACATGTGTAGCATTATGGACATATCGAAGGTTCTGGAAAGTGGGTTGGTGCTGGAGGTGGGGGCAATATCATGCAGTAATGGTGGTGGGGGTGGTGGAGATGGGGGGAGAGGAGATGGGGGTGGCGGAATGGCAGGGATGTGATATGGTGATGACAGTGGGGGGTGACTACAGTGGGGAGGGGTGGGGTGATGATACAGGAACAGTAATCATTTATCTCCCTCATCCAGGTGCCCCAAAAGGTAGCCCAAGGCTGGTGTAAAGAGAAAGATATCCCCTACTTTGAAGTCAGTGCCAAGAATGACATCAACGTGGTTCAAGCCTTCGAGATGCTGGCCAGCCAGGCCCTGTCAAGGGTAAGTGGCTGCACTGTGGCGCTGGGCTGCCTGAGGCTGGGAGGCTTGGGAACTTCCAGAAAAGAATGGACTGGGCACAGACAGAGGCATGAAGAGGAGAGGGTGCTTAATTAATCAATAGGTGAGACCAAAATCCAGCCCTGGAGCCACAGGACGCAGAGGGACGGGGCAACCTCAGAGAAGGTGGTCCCGGCACTCCGCTGATTGCCATTTGTGGAGTTTCTGGAAAACACAGCCCCGTCCCTCACCCCAGAGGTTCCCACTTAGGAAGGGCTTGAGCAGAGAGAAGCTTGTGCATCTCTGTGAGTGGGAGGGGACCCCTGTGGTAGCAAGTCTCTGCCTGTGGAGAGGCTACTGTCCTGCACAGGAAAGGGGGACAGATGGGGACAGGACCCCTGCTGTGGCCTCTCAGCCGGCCTGTGGGACCTGCAGGGGCCCTTGTTCTGGTGAGAGGCTGCAGCTCAGGTGCAAATGGGTCCCACAGGGGGGCAAGGGCCCCAGAGGAGGGGCCCATGTCCACACCGTAATGGGGTGGGGGGAAATGGGGCAGAGAAAGAGGGGGGAGGCCGCCCGAAATTGCAGCAGGTTTCAACACCACTGTGATGTGGGGCTGGAAGCGCAGAGAAGGGGCCTGGGAGGCAAGCAGGGGAGGGAAGCAGCTCGTGACCCCGCTGCACGCTCAGTTCAGGGGAGCCTCAAGGAAGAGGGGAGAAGGGAATGGTGCAGTCGATTTGCATTGTGGGAATAAATGAGCAGACAAGGGTGGGAGACTAGAGGCCTCCACCCCACCCCGTCGCCCACCCCGTCGCCGGAGGTGACAGTGCCAGGCCCACGCAGCACCTGGTGGGCCGCACCTGCAGAGAAGCCCTAGGCCCTGCCTGGCTATGTCTGGACAGAACAGTCTGCAGCAACTCAGCTGTGCTTCCTCCAGCCTCCAGCCTCCAGCCCTCGCGGCCTTTTGGGAAGGAGAAGCCAGGGAGTCCCTCTCGGTGCAGGTCAGCAGGCTGGCTCTGTCCCGCTACAGCCCCACCCCCTCGCCCCTCCAGGCTGCGGTGCTGGGACCACGTGCTGGTGGGCGACACCCCCCCAGCACACACGACTGTCACCAAGGCTGCCACAGGGAGGCTTCGTCAGCCCACAGTGGCGTCTGCACATGGTCTGTCCTTCCGAGAAGGACTGTCCTTTCCTCCTGAAGTCACGTCCTTCTTGCTGCGTCACTTGAAGAGTGGGGAGCTAGTCGTAGGCAGTAGCTTGTCTGCTGCTCTGTTTTAAGACTCTGGCTTGGCGAATAGGGGGTCCGTGGCCCCACAGCATGCTGAGGGGGCCCAGGGAGTCTGGCGGGCACACAAGTGGTATCTGCAGACATACTGGGTGTGGAGGCTGCCGGGGGCTTTCTTGTGACTTCTCTGCTCTCGGTTTCCTTTTCTACACAATGGAAGTAATTCTGCCCCAGAGACACGTCTTGAATGGTCAAGCTGGGGCTGGCCACGTGGGCCTTGGAGGCCCCAAGACCAGCCAGCGGGGTACGGTGTTCACAGTAGGCGTCGGGGGTGGGGTGGACACCACAGTGAGGTAGGGCCACAGGGCGTGGGTTGGGCCCCTTTGGGGGTTCCAGCCAGGGCCCGGGGGGGGGGTTGGGGGTTGCCGGGGCGGGGCAGTTTTTGGCCAGAGGACTGGGGTGTAGGTGGGTATTGGGGTTCAGAGTTTGCAGGTGGGCATGGCGGGGGTGAGCACAGAACGGGGCGGGGTCCAGGCATGAATCCATGGAACTTGGATTGGAACCAGCTTGAGCTCTGTCTGAGGAAAGGAAACGTGACGTGGCAGGGAGCAGGGGTCGAGGGAGCCCAGGGAGCCAGGGCAGCAGTGCCAGGTCACAAAGACCTGTGTGCCTCGATCAAAGCCGCAGGCGTCTGGTTTTCCAGACCTCGCTGCTGGACCCTGGGCACACGGCCTCCTGGACACCCCGCGGCGCCTCTGCACTCTCAGGCAGAAAATTGAAGGAGGAGCATTTTGTCATTAAAACAAACATTCTAGGGCATGGAGTGAAAAATTTACATTGACTTTTAGGTGAAAATGGGGCTTCCAAATCTGGATCAAACAAGAGTTTTCAAAGATGTTTCTCAGAAGGGCATCTCCCTCCTTCCCAGGGAGGTCATGGGCTGATTTTATGGACATTCCCAGTCAGGGCCACCAGCTGCAGGCTCTGGAGAGCCTGGCAGAATAAAGAGATGTGGCCCTCCTGCCTGTAGAACCATTTCCTGAGGCAGGACTCCCGAACCAAGAGTGTGGGGGGGGAGGGGTGTGGCACGGGATAAGGGGAGAGGCCTGTCAGACTGAGGAGTGCCTTGTTCTGGTCAGAGGCACCAACAGGCCCGGCAGAGTCACAGAGTGGACTTTAGGGAGGCCCCTGGTGGTGAGAGTACTGACTAGGCTTCTCCAGGTGCCCTTGGGGGTGAGGGGACCCAGGAAGGTGGGCTGTGGAGGCATCTTTGGGGTGAGGGTTCCAGCAGATAGGAGGCATGTGTCGCCATCACCTCACTTGTCTCCTCGAGAGAACCTAAAGTTTGGGCCCTCCTTGAAGGACAGGAGACTTGAACCCTGACCCAGGCCCCTGGCTGCTCAGGCTCCTGGAAGCGGCTGGAGGAGGACATGAGGGAGGGGGTGAGGGACAGCAGGTGCGGTAACTGGTGGCTTCCCCCTCTGAGCCTCAGGTTCCCAACATCACCATGGCGAGAAAGAATGCCATGAAGAAGCAGGAGCTGCTCTTTGCCTCCTGGGATGTGAATGCCACCTTCTCTTTTCCTCCCGCAGTATCGCAGCATCTTGGAGAATTACCTCACAGACTCCATCAAGCTCTCCCCGGAAGACCAGCCCCAGAGCAGATGCTGCTAGATGTCTGGACTCCCAGAGATACCACCCCATCACCCCCACCCCCTGCCCATGCTCTGCCCGGGTGCCCCGTTCTGCAGCCAGAGCCTCGATCCCCTTGTATTGGCTGGACCCCGAGACCAAGGCCAGCCCTGCCTCAGGCTGAAAGAAGCAAGGTCGCCCCTGGGCCCTGGGGCCAGAAGACGTCAGGGCGCCACAGCCTGTCCTGGCCCTGGAAGGGTCCCAAGTCCCACTCTGGCTTGACACGCACCCTCCCCACAGACTTCCGCTCCCAAACACACATCTCTGCAGAGACGCCCCTGTGTCTCCTGCTAGTGGGCATCCTTGCCGCTCAGCACACCCCACTGAGCAACGCCCAGGCATGGATGCATTTCAGCCCCCCTGCTGCTGGCAGGCTAGGGTCAGGTCTGATACCCTGCGGGCCTGTCTCAACCCCTGGCTGCCCTGTCTGGTCCTGGGATCCCCCTCATCCCCTCTCCCAGACCCCCTCATGCTGAGGAAAAAGCCACCGGAGAACTGCCCACCCTCCCGCGGGGAACTCTGGCGATGCCTGGAACTCTGGGAGACTCTGCTGTCCAGTGGGAGTGTGGGGCTGAAGGCCCGGAAGCTCTTCCTCAGCCTCAGTTGCTTTGTTGATCTGAAAATATTTATTCCTTCAACCAGCATTTTTGAGTGTCCACTATATGCGTCTCTGAGGTCCAGAGACAAGCAGGTCCTGGCCCCCTGGCCCCGACATCTGGAGGGGCAGACACAGCACTTGCACATATAAGACAAGGGCTTAAGCAAAGGGAAACAGGGCAATGGGGTGGAGGGGGGCAGGGATCCGGTGGACACTGCCTCCGACCTCATGGTCCTGGGGGGCTCCTCTGAGGAGATCTGACCTGAGGCTGGGAATGAGAAAGGCTGCCACCTGAGAGCTGGACGAGCGCAGCCCAGGGCAGGGAACAGCGAGGGCTGAGGCCCTAAGGGAGAACAAGCGTGCTGTGTTCCAGGAACACAGAAAGGACTTTACCTGAGAACACAAAGCAGCTGTCCCAGGTACAAGCAGAGGGATCCGCCCCCGACGGCTCCCTGCACCTCTGATGGATGGCCACCAGGGGGCAGCAATGCGCCTCCCCTGCCAGGCTGAGCAGAACCCTGGAAAGTGCCGCATTTTCCTCCTCTGCATTGATGCCCAGAGCTAGTTGGGGGCCCTACTAGCGGCCAGGCTTTGAGTTATGCGGAGCTGGAGGATGCCAGCTTCTTTAGCCTAGCAAGCAAAAGATGAAACTGCAGCATCAACAATTCAGGCAAGAACTTTGCTTCTGAGAAAAACAGAATGAGGCATCTTCAAGCTTATGGGTTCTCTGTCTCTGCCCAGTAGCCGTTTTCTACTCTACCCAACCACGACACACAGCATGGTAGTGTCCATCCTGCAGGCGGTGACCAGCGAGCTCTCTGGGCCTCTGGTGGTCCCATCGGCACCCACCACAAAAGTCTCTTGGAGACACAGGTGGAAGCTCCCCAGAGCCCCCAGCAGAACTGGGTTGTAGTATGTGACTTTGGAGGGTCATCCTACTGCAGCTATGCCTAGAGGTGGGGAAAGGGAAGTCAGCAAGGAAATTGGGGGGCCTTTCTTCCCACCTAGCTGTGGAGGAAGAACTGGTCCACCCCGAGTAGCGAGCAGGACATAGCAAGGGAGTCCATCGCCTGGAGCACCCCTCCGTCCCTGTGTCCTTCACAGGTGACCTCCGGAGCCCCTGGGGCTCCCACATGCCGTGTGTGGGTGTGTGCACAGTTGGTTCTCTCCACGGTGGACACAAGGCCCTCAATTACAACTGCATGGGCCAAATAATAAATAAGCCCTTTGTTTTTAATCCTTTGTGGCATTTAGTTCTTAACTTTGAAAAGAAAGAAAAAACACATCTCCATAACACACAAATCAAAAGAGACGAAAGGGAAGACAATATAAAATAAGCTAGGAGCCGCCACATGATGGGGAGGCCCAATGCAAGTGAAAATGCGGGGCTCTGGCCCCCAAAATGTGATGAATTTCCAGAAGCGACAGCACGCGGTTAAGCCAATCGCACGGTCCATCTGAGCACTGGCTGCACACACCTGTGCCGCCCTCCCCAGGTGAACACGTGTGTGTTTAGAGCCCTCCAGAATGACAGCCCTGGCCAGCGCCAGCTGGAGGTAAAAACATTCTGCCTTTCAGGATTCATGTGGACATTCAAACCCACACTTCATTTTGCATCTTCCTTATCAGAATGTCTACATGGGGGTGGCAAGTGGGGTGCTGAGGGCCCACAGTCCTACCTGTCTGGGGGACATGCCAACAACCCCTGGTGCCCAAAAAGTGCTAAGCACCCTGCACCCCTGCAGTCTACTCATGAATCCGGGGACCCACCCCTAGGGGCAGGGATGGAGAGAGAGCAGGAAGGGGGCTGAGAGTCTGGGGCCAGTGAGCAGGGATTTCTGGGGCCCCCTTCACCCTGGTCTTTGTGGAGGTGATCGGAGAAGAGGACACAGGCTGACGAGGCTGCTCTCACCAGGCTTGTTCCTGTACCCACCTCTGCCTTGCTGGATTCCAGCCAGCTCAGGGTGGCACATGCCCTTGGGGACCGGGGAAAAATCAGAACCAAATCTTATCACCAGATAAACCAGCTGGACCCAGCTGGGCAGCACAATGCCCACGTGGGTTTCGGAAATGCTGGTTGTGCTGTCTGCTTCCACTCGGCAGAGACCCCTCACCGCCCCTTTCATCAGTGCGACCCTCCACTCAGCGTAGAGACTGGTACAGAGTGGGGAGTGAATAAACTTTGTGGACCACAACAGCATGTGACCCAGCTGCTTAATAGAACAGTGAAGGAATGTTCGGACGCAGGCTAAACATTCAGCAACCGTTCAACCGCGTGTCAACATGCTATCTTTTCTATAAAAGGCTTAACTAAGAGTATGTTTACTTTTGTTCGTACTTAAGAAAACTCTAGAATGATGTAAAAGAAGTGAATAAAATCTGTCACTTTTCAGAGGGGGTGACAGCAGGTGGGAGTCAGGAATGGAAGTAAGATCTGAGCACTTTTCTAATTTTGCACTTTCAACTTTTAACCTTTGGTTGTATCAGAGCTAGGAATGGCTTTTTAATTGTTTGTTGTATCGAGTTAATGGTTTACCACACTGTATACATTTTAGAGCCATAGGCTCATAACTTCTCAAATACCCATGAGCAGAACCCCAATAATCCACTACCACAGCCCGTGGGGCCTCATTCCCTCTCTGCTGCCCTGGGCAAAGCAAAATAAAATCAATAAAGACAGACAAGCGAGGGAGTCGTGAGCCCAAGATTTAGATGAGGGCGGGCAGCAGCTAGGGTGACACACAGGCCACTGGACATCGCTGAGGATGCTCCGTGCACCCCGTTGGGTTGTGGGTCCACAGGCAGGCATTTCATTGTTCTGCTTTGCCTTACAGATGTGTGTGACATCAACTCTATTTTTATTGCTCAAATGTGAAAATGTTTGAATTTCAGCCACAGTCTGAACACTGGGGTCAGGCAGGACTGAATCCTGAGACCTTGGTGGCTCTCTTCCTTGTGGCTGAGACCTTGGGTGTGTCCCTGACCTCTGAGTGACCTTGGAAGTGCTCAGGACCTCTTAGAACTGTTGCTGTCTTCTCTGTGCGCTGGGCATAACTCCTAGCTCCGAGGCATCTAGTTAGGCATGCATCCCTCCTGGCTCATGGCTAATGCTCCAGAATTGGCAGCTGATACTGGGTCAGGAACAGCTGTAAAGCTGTCTGTGAACAGAGGCACAGCTGTCTGTTGGATGCTAACGTACAGTGACTGAGAACTATTGTACCAACAAGCAGAAGGACTCATTTGACCACCCGACCTCCTTCCTACCATCTCACCAACCCTGAATGATCTCTGGGACTCAAATCGGCTGGTCAGCCTTGTGGTCACTTAAATTTAAAAACCAACCTTCACATCTACCTAGAGTTTCTGGCCAGCTCGGCCCAGGACGGGGGGGCTCCACCCTCAGCCCAGACCAAAGAGCCTATGGGTAGATTCACACGTCCCTGTGTCCCCACGGACATGGGTCTGGGCTGGGACAGCTACTCCTGAGACAGCGTGGGGGAAGCACCCCAGGCCCCTGCACCCCAAGCCTGTAAGCATTTCCTTGACTTTCAAGTCTCAGTAGAGTTTGTCTCACATACAATGACAACCAGGATTAGCGGGAGTAAAGTGGATTTCCAAAGCCTGCAAGTAGGAGCCACTGATATTTTTAGACTTGCTGAGAATCTGCCAGTTTCTGATTTTTTTTTCTCTATTTCAGTCTAAATTTGGGAGAGGGAATTAGCTGTCAATCGAGGACAGCATAGTGTATTTGAAGTCACAGAATCTTATTCAAGCTCTGTGTGATCTTGAACCAGTATCATATCTGAGCTTATTTTTCTCCTTTAGAAAATGGAGTTGATTTGGGGCCTCCCTAGTGGCGCAAGGGGTTAAGGCACAGCACCGTGAGGCTGCATGAATTCGATCCCTGGCCAGGGAGCTGACCCACATGGCGCAGCAGACCTGTCCTGTCTCACTCGCTGCTCCCCTCAGCAGTGTATTTCAGGAGATCTGCCTGTTCTGCACTCCCCCCACTCTATCTCTGGTGAATCCTCTCAACCTCCTTTTCTCTACCCTGTACCCCAGTTCTTGTGTGTATAGATAAATAAAACCTTTAAAAGAATAAAGAAAATGGGGGTAACAAGTACTCTTGTCTATCTCATGGTACCAGAAAGATAAAGTAAAACCTGCACCTATTAGTGACTTGGAAACTGCCAGTCTACAAATACAGGGAAAGAATGTCTGGAACCAGGATGCCTGCACTGGCAGTTTGCTTCTCAATTACCGAACACGGGCACCTCTGTGGGTGCTTTGTGAGTGTCAGCTCATCTGGTTCTCTCAACTATCCTACAAAAGCCCAGTTTGACAGGTGGGGAAAGCTTAGGAGAGGGTAAGTCATTTTCCCAATTTGCATGCTGGTGTGAGGCCCTCGCCCAGGCTGTCAGGTCCAGAAATGGGCGCTTAGCCACACTGCCTCCTGCTTTGGAGAGCGAAGCCTGCCTCGCCCCCTTTCCTCACACTGTCTTCGTTCCTCATAGTTGTAGCATGTGCCGGACACCCTGCTAGGACATGGGGGTGGAGCTGAGCTTCAGTTCAGCGTGGGAGATGGATCAGGTACAATTTATCAAGGAAAGCACCCAGAGGGCCCTGCGTGGGAGAAGAAAGCGGTGTCAGGCTGATGGAAAAAAATGCCACAGTTGGGGTGGCTCATCAGAGACTGTTCTGGAGTGTAGACATCCAAGATCAGGGTGCTAGAGTGTCCGGGTGTGGACCCGCTTCCAGCCTGCAGACTCCTGGTCTCTCACTGCGCTCCCACAGAGCAGAGAGAGGGCAGAGGTGTGCCCTGGGGGTCCTTCCTAAGGGCACTAATCCCACCGTGAAGCTCCACCCTCAGGGCTTTGTTACCCTCAGAGGCCCACTGACTACTACCACCACACGTGAATTTGGGGGGGCAATCAGCAGGGTGAGAGGGTGGAGGTGACTTTGGGTAAGTGGCATCATCTGCTTGTGTTACAGGGCAGGGAGAGAGGGGCATCACTGAACCCCCAAACCTGCCTGCTCTAAATAGGTTCTGCCGTCTGCGTATCAACACAAAAGAGCTCTAATAGAAAGGAACTATAATACAGTGAGTGTACAATACAGAACACAAAGAATATAATTTCTAAGTCAAACACCCAAAGTTACCCGTCCCCTCGTGGGTAAAAGTCCACCCAAAAGGGATTGGTCCAAAGAAGGCCTGAAAGTCCTCCACAAGTCTAAAGCACCTTCTGGCTGGGACCCAAAGAAAAGGGTCAGACATGGCCAGACAAGTCTGGGAGGAAAAGAGCACAATCAAAATCAAGATAAATGCTGCCATAGTCACCTCCCCACGGGTCTCTCACCCACGTCTGTTTCAACCAGTTTAGGACCAGGAAACAAGCACGATTTCTTCACGTCTCCCTCTCCGTGTGCCTTCCTCAAGTCTCCTTTTCGCTCTCCATCATGCTTCCTTCTTCAGTCTCCTCTCCTCTGCCCAGCTCCACCTTCCTTCTGGGTGGGGCAGAGAACCTGGAACTTCCCCTGGGACCACCCTGTTACATTTGGGCCTCTGTTTTCTCATTGTAAGTGAAGACACTGTTATAAGAGCAGACGCCTGCCCAGCCTCGTTGAAGGGCAGTCAAATAAAGCGCTGAGGTGTGC